TCTGATTATTCCTTAACACTGAATAGTACTGTCTTTGCCGGACTTACTTTCTGAATGTAAACCTGTCTGTGTCTGACCCGTCTGTCCTCTTTGTCCGACAGACCAAGGCAATGCCAGCTACGGAAAAACCCCAAGACGGGGGGCACACCAGACCAGCTACAAGCCATACTGATGATCACATGGTAGTACAAGGTATGCCTATGAATACCATCCTGTACATACCGTCACGTTTCCCATAAGCAGAGGCACTTACAGTTAGGGTTTTAGAGCTGCGAGAGCTGGTAACTGCTGTCCATCTGAACCTGCAAAGCAGAGCGCAGAAATCACTTTTTTTTTTTTTTACCAAATTTAAATTTGTCCAGCCCTGGCTCTTAAGTGTTCGATCTTGTAATATACAGAAAAGATTGCTGCTTTTCAATGGGAATCAGAGGTTTTTATGTTTGTGTAGAGATGGCAGAGGTGTCCCTGGCCAGACTTGTTTGGTGTAGTTTAGTGAAGAAACTATAATAATAAACAAAAATAGGGGTTTTAATGTTTAAAATAAAAAGAAAATCAACAAATAACCCTTTTTTGTGGCGCTTTTGTCAGTAATGTTTAAGATCTGACGTCTTTAGGATGGAAAAAGGTGTGCCTTAGAATGTGACCACGTTGTATGTCATCCCTCAGGACTCCAGTGATCCAGTGAGACCGACAGCTGGACGGACACACTGGGCATGACTCGACCTCTTTTATGACAGAAGACCATTTGTACAGAAAACATCCGAAATGTAACTTTTCCTTTTTTTTTTTTTTTTTTTTAAATCCTTTCATTTTTAGGTTTTACTTTTCCCTTTGGTGTTCTTTTTTTTTCCTTCCCCCTCCACATTTCCATCAATGGAAGTGTAATTTTTACTGTACTTTTTGGTACCTGTTTTGATTCTAATGTATTGTAAGGCGTGTATTTTACATGTTTGCTGGCTTTACAGGTTGAAAATCTTGGCGCTGTAAAGGAGCTTTTTTTGACAAATAAAAACAGTTTTCAGTAACTTTTTTTTGTTCTGATGTTTCCAGGTTCTGGGGTGGAAGATTAAAAAGTTGGTGAATGGGTTTGGGGATTAAAATTCAGTTTAATTCAACTTTAATATTGATTTCTATTGTTTTTATAGCCACACAAACCAATGATCTGTAATAATGAAAAAAATGTTAACTTTAATATCTGCGTAACTAAAGAATTGCCCTCAGATGACCATTTGGTATTTTTCCCCTGTTTATGTGATCTCAAGAGAATTTGAACTAGTTAGAATTCCTGAAAACAAACGACTGCAAGCTTCTTCCAGGATGTGCTGAATTTACCCGGGAGGTTAATGTCTGACAACATAGATGTGTGGGATGTAATGGTGGGAAAATTACACCACACAACTTCTGTTGACTACATACTTTTTTTTTTTTTTTCTTTTTATTAATAACAAGCAAATTGTTAATTTCTATGTTGGTTTAGTTTGTTTGTCACGTGCCGCTGGTTTTAGAAAGTTTTAAGATAAATGTCTTTTTGTTTTTTCTGGACATACTTCAGGCCACTGGAGTCTCCTCAGCTAGTGTATGGCAATTTATTAGTAATAAACACACTTGTTTGTAATGATCTGTGTATTTCTAATGCTTAATGTTACTGTTAATTGTATCCTAAAGAAGGGAGAACTGTAGGTTTCTATCTAATTTCTCACGTTCTGGTACTTGGACACGCTCGGTTTTCAGACCTTTCAAGGGCACAAGAAAATGTCCACAAAACTGAGTATAAATCCATGAGGGTGAAGTGTTTTATTTAAAGCTGAAATAGGCTCAACAGTTAATTTATTGGGAAGTTAGTAAGGGTGGTTGAATCACACAAATCATTGGGATGCTGTGAGACTGCAGATACTGAGCAGATGGGTATTTCTGGTTTATTTATCACATGCACAAGCAAGACCTGTGGACATCCATTAACTGTTACGGATAGACTTCAGATTGAGGGGTTTGCTGCATCAGTTATAATCTGCACCAAGGATATAATACTATCTTGATAAATATGCAAAGATGGATATATTTTATATTGGGCATCAAAAAGACGTTTATTTCTCGAAATTGCTGAGACCGATTTGTGGACAATCTTGGGAATCAGAAGATTGCAGGTTCACTTCGCCTCCTGGGCACTGCCGAAGTGCCATTGAGCAAGCCACCGAAACCCCCTGCTCAGGGCACTGGACTATGCCGCTGCCCCATCACTCTAGACATTCCTCCACAACCATGAATGTATGTCTATAAGTCCTGTGTGTAAAGAGTACAATAGATAACTAGTGATCTAATCAGTTCCTTTGTGTCAGTCCGGAAGAATAAGTAGGAGGACCACGTATTAGTGATTAACCGCTCGCACGTAGTTGTGAGTGGTTATCACGTTCGCCGTCACAGCGAAATGGTCCCCGTCGTGACACCGGGCGGAATACACATTGAGCTGGTTTGCCAATAGAATGATCCAGGGTCCGTGCGTAAAGGTCAAAATCCACCTAAGCAGTACCTAATAATCATGTGGTATATGATACATAATTTATTGATTACATCATGGATACATTATTAGATTTCAACATTGCACATAGCGAACAAGTCCAGGCAATAGGAGACAGATTCGCGGCATAAAAGAAGTAGAACTTTGACAACATCTTACCAGATAATTGGAGGGTTCTACTTAAAAAAAAAAAAAAAAAGACAGTCTTTAGATGCTCCACAATTCAGGAAAAAGCCATAGAAATATCGATAGACACGAGCACGAAAGAGTAAAATGGAACGATTACAATGACATTTATTCTCTTAAAATTTTCATTCGTCTCGATCAAATGGTTGTGCTTCCGTTCAAATGATGAAAGATACACTATCTAACAACAATGTAGTCGCAGAACATGGTTAGCATTGCAGGTGGCGCTCTCCCACGTCAGTGTGTCGCCACCATTTACAAAAGAGGTCCAAGCTCAACGAGGTTATGACAACACACAGAAAAAACTTTGTGATAAATCACGAGATTTATTAAGGATTTTTTTTGTTTTCGGCAGTTCATCTATTAATTTGTGGAATCCCTAATTAGGCGTCTTCTGTTCTTATAGAAATCTCCGTCAACTTAGGCTACTGAAATAGGCTGTTTATTTATATCATTCCTTATTCGGCACGGTACTTTAGAAGTTGAATAATTCCTTTGTGAACTCACCTGAACAGGGTCATTAAAGGACATTATTATCCCCACGTCTTCTCCTTTTTTCTGATCTTTAAATATTGCTGCAAGCTAAGACTCTGAAACTATCGTCCGACAACACATAAATAGGTCAACACAATTTAGTACTTAAATGGATTGATTTTAACCATAACCATTCACAGTTTCTTACTAAGAACTAGAGCACCTACGCTACGATTAACAAACAGGTGTACAGGTAGTGAGCTCAAAAGCATACACCATGAGCGCGTACAACGGCAATTGATGCACTATTTCACCCATACAAATCAGAAATCCAACAGGATCGCTCCTTCGCTTAATATGCGGCCAGAAGAGAATACAGGCAGAGGACTTCAATGGCAGCCAATCTCTGCCACATTGTACCGAGCAGAGAGTCGTACATTAAGCCGCAATGATACGAAATATGTAGACTATAAAGTACTCTGCCGACTCGAAACACCCAAGAAAAGCGCACAGAAAGGTGTCGCGGTGTACTAGAGTGCCCTCTCGTTTGAGTTATCATTTAAATGATGGAACGAGACTGCAGTTACCAATAACAAATAAATCAAATGAATTATCTCGGCTAGATCGGCTGCATTGAACCTTCTGGGACTGTTACACATGATAAGGTTACAGTGACACGAGGACCCGAGACCCAAACCCACAATTGCATGTCTGCACTGCCGGAGACTAGACCTTGTTTTCTACGTATGTGTTTGAAAGGAGAACAAGAATTCAGATGGATCTCCTGCCCTCAATCAGTGTGTCATCATCTTGCATCTGCATGTATGTTGGTTCACAGTCCGGTCTGCTCTTCGAGTCACCTTCTGCTAGACCTCTCCCCATGCTAACCCGTACTCACTCTTGTGGTCCTATCGGCACATCCAGCGAGAGGTTTGACCTTCTGATTTCGTTGAACTGGAGAACGATGAGGGGCGGCTGAGCCATCACGCATCAGCGCCTGCGGCGAAAAGATCGGCAACGGCTGGAGCCCAGCTGTCTT